TGTGTGTGTGTTTGTGTGGCTTGATGAGCAACTTTGTCGTTAAATTATAAGGTAAACGTCTCTCTCTCTCTCTCTCTTTCTATCTCTATCTCTGTCTTAGTACCACTATTATTACTCAGTTAAAAAATTTGCTTCTACTTATATATTTAATTGCTAACATTTGATAGAGAAACTTTTAAGAAGTAAGAAAATGACGAAAATAATCTGAAAAGATGCACAGATTATGAGAAAAAAATTGAAGCTTTGAGAAGATTCAAGCAATATTGAAATATTCCAAAAGAAGCATACAACAGAAAATATGTTGCTTAGAAGACACTGTCGTAGAGGAAGGTAATTAATTAATTAGATCTGTCATTGTAAAGAATGACAACTGTTGACCAATGTCAATTTGTATGGTAGAATGCAAATTGCACTTTACTGATTCTTTTATATCAAACTAATTTAGATCATCAATTTACTCATCCTAATGTTAATTTAGACAATTAATTAGGTCTGTTGTTCCGAACAATGACCACTTGGATAATATGCGAATACAGCACAATAGCTTTCTTACAGTAATTTTTTTTAAATTATTGAATATTTAAATTAATGCTAACTCGTCCATCATATGAGACATCGCATTTTCATATGTGCTACAAACCATACATCGCGTTGTTCGGTAGTTCGGCAGTCAGCGATATATGACAATTTTATTCGCATGAGAGGTCATTGTTTATCGGCTTATTTGTTTATTCTTGTTTTTATTTAAGTTAGCATACTGTCATATAAGTACTTGTTGCAATGATGTTACTGTATATCATTGACTAAGAGATAGGTATCATCATGAAAATCTGTGCTCAGGCCTGATTTATTCTACCGAGTATGGCGCTTTTTTCAAAAATAAAAGATGACTTTCAGGATTGGCATGAAAATAAGAGGTTAATGTCTGCAATGAATTAGTCACAGATGATGAAAATATTCCCTATATACCAAACATTATGCCGATTTAGTGCCGGACAGCGAACCGCATTGGGATTAACGAGAAATTTGGATGATGGAAGTGCTAATGTCATTTCCTTGAATGTTGAAACGGGTTCGAAAAGTATTGTGCAGCTAAAGGATGTTGGTGGTAAAGAGATAATTTGTTTTGTTTTGAAAATTTTCGATGTTATGTGATTTTTTCTAATGCTAGTTGTTTTGTTACTTAGTTTGTACATGCGTTTTAATTATTTTTTCAATCAAATAATGTAGATGAGACTTGTTTTAATTACTTCAACGCTGAGAGATAATGCAAATTTCTCGAGAATTTTGTGAGATTTTAATTTTTTCCTTTTGAAATAAGTCACTACAATTTAATTCCTACCAAACACCATCAAGGCATGCAAGAGAAGCACCTAATAGTGTCTAAACGTTCCATAATGAAGCATATAGGTTCCAACTATAAAGATCTTTTTAATTATTATAGTTTTACTAATTAGTTGCTTAGTTTGAGTTAACCTAATTTCGTGTCATTCGAGATAAGGATTATCTGTGAATTGTTGACCGTGTTTGTGAGTTTCATAGATTAGTATGAAAATATAAAAGGACATATTTGATATTAATATATATAAAAGATAATTTGTACTTTTGTAAAATATGTTTTGCAATTGAAAACATGGAGATTTTGGGGAAAAATATTTAACACCGTGTTGATTCAAAATATTTTCCAGCGAAAAAAGTACGATTGAAGTACAACGGAGTTTTACCACAAAAAGCAATTGTTGGCCTATGGAATGCACTTACATCATGTTCTAGAAATCCGAAAATTCTGCAGAATGAAGCTGATAAGGTGCGAATCATTTTTCTTTTAGTTTTTTGAATAATCTAGCATATTTTTATCAATTTTTCATGAACTTAAGTCGTCTTATATAATTTTTTGCTTTTCCTTTTACATAAAATATTTTGCCATCAAAAGCAGGTATTTATCCAGATTCAAAAATCCATAAAATTTTATTATACAGATTTTTTTGCTGATTTAATAATGAAATTCTTATATTATTAATATCAATATTCAGTTGGAGTTGTCTCAAAGTGAATATTAATATTATTTGTGTAGTTATATTTTTTTAGTGTTACGAATTATGATGCTGATAAGATTATGTTTTATTTTTATGATATTAGGTTTGATTTTGATTTTGTTGCACTAATTAGCATCACTTATTTGTTCTTTATTTAATGTATAATTTTTTATATAGTGGTAGTTTTTTAATGTTTTGTTAATTTCTAGAGTAATTGGCTACACATTTTAATTTTTAACTCTAATTGTTGAAAAGGCTCACTGAAATTACAAATTTCGTTTTGTTCAATCTTCCTTAATACTGGTGCATTCCGGATTAATGTATTTGTTTTATTCAATGTACAAAATGCTTAATAATTTTGTTAATTGCAAGTTTTTGCATAGATATTCAGATGTCTCTTTCAAAGTGTAGTTATTTTTGCCATAACGCTCGTGTTTTTGGCAAAGTTGAAAAATTGTGCGAAGATGTTATGGTTAATTTTGTCAAGTTTCAGTTGTTTAGTATTTTTAGCTGAACGAAAAGCTGAGTCAACGCCAGTTTCCAGCATCACCTGAAGAAGTACGAGAAGCACGTCATGAAATTATGAACATGTTAAAAGCCGAAGGTGGATTTCTGGATCGTAATTCTGTCAGTCAGAAAGTTGTTAGTTTCAGTTCTGTGATATTTGTTCTCAAATCGGGCTTAATTCTCATATTTATCTGAATTGAATTCGTAAGTTAATTAAATCTTTGGTTTTTTCTGACGTGTGATTGGATAGTGCATTACATCACTAATAAGTGTTTAAAATTTAAAGCCCAGAAAGATTAAAATATTTCATTAGTGCGTGAAATTTGTTTTAGCTGGAAGCATTCGATTTTGAACTAAAGAAAAAAGCGAGTAAATTGCTGCGTTACACGAGATATAATTGGAAGCCGCTGGATTTTAAAACACGTGAACATGCCGCAGCTTATACATTAGCCAAGTAAATTTTTAATTTTCAGCAGAGAACGGTTCAAACCACCTCGGTTTAATTTTTCATAAAGAATGTTGTTAATTATGTCTGACCACAAATCAGCTTTTTATTTTTGTCATTTCTAAAATGTTGAACATTTGTTTTTACTGCAAAGATGCCTTAAATCCTTTTTGGATAATTCCAAAAATTAAAAAATTTTCAAGAAATTTTCATTCAATTTTGGAATGCTTTATTATCTTACTCACTTGACCTTATTGACCGCTCTCTAATGCTGGCTGATATGATAAATGATTTTAATCATTAAGGCGGTTTTATTGAACTGGTTTTTATATTTCCTCGCTTCTAATATGACCACATTTGATTAATTTATTTTTAACACTGAACTCAGAAAAAGTATTTCACTGTATCGCAGTTTTCAGATTTGCACCTAATTATGCAGAAGTTTATTTTGTATTACAAGAATTCAAGAATAACGGATACATTCCACAAACAGTCTTGGATTATGGAAGTGGTTCTGGTGCTGCATTTTGGGCTGCATTTGAACATTGGGGAGAACGGGTCAAAAGTTATCTGCT